GAGTGCATGGAGTATGATATTCCGGAGGGCAAAGGAATTAGGACTACAACCTAGAATCACCTACCCAGCAAAACTGAGTATAATCCTTCAGGGCAAAAAATGGTCATTCAATGAAATAGAGGACTTTCAAGCATTCCTGTGGAAAAGACCAGAGCTGAATAGAAAACTTGACCTTCAAATACAAGACTCAAGTGAAACATGGGAAAGGTAAACAGGAAAGAGAAATCATGAGACTTATTAAGATTGAACTGTTTACATTCCTGCAGGGAAAGATGATATTTGTAACTCATGAGTCCTTTGTCAGTATTAGGGTAGTGGGAGGGAGAAAATTATATGTTTGTATAGATAGATAGAGGACACAGGGTGAGTTCAAGATGAAGGGGCGATATTGGGAAAATAAAATTAAGGGGTGGGAGAAGATTATACTGGGAGAAGGAGAAAGGGAGAAGTAGAATGAGGTAAAATATCTCACATGAAACAGACAAGAAAAGGCTTTTACAGTGGAGGGGAAATGGGGTAAGGTGAGAGGGAATAAGTGAATCTTATTCTCATAGGATTTGGCTTAAGGAGGGAATAACATACACAATGGGGTATGGAAATCTATCTTACTCTACAGGAAAATAAGGGGGAAAAGGGACAAGAGGGCAGGGGGTTGATAGAGGAGAGGGCAGATTGAGGGAGGGGATAATCAAAAACAAACACTTCTGAGGAGGGACAGGGTCAAAAGAGAGAATAGAATAAATGGGGGGTAGGATAGGATGAAGGGAAATATACTTAGTGTTTCACAACATGATTACTATGGAAGTGTTTTGCATGACTACACATTTATGACCTGTATTGAGATGCTTGCCTTTTCAATGAAGGTGGGTGGGGAAGGAGGAAGGGAGAAAATTTGTAACCCAAAGTTTTAAAAATACATGTTAAAAATAAAAAAATAAAAATAAATTTAAAAAATTTAAAAATTTAAAAAAATTTTTAAAAATTAAAAAAGAAATGTTAATAAAAAAAGAAAAGAAAAGAAAGAGTTATGAAACTTTATAAAGAAGTCAATACAATCCAAAAGCAAGGAAGAGTTGAGGATGCTTCCAACATTTATCTTCTGGCCAACCAGGAAGATGGCACCATTCACAAAAATGGTGAAGTCAGAATAGAAAGGCTATGTGGGGAAGACCATGGGTTATTTTTTAGATATGCTTAGTGGTGTATGTGTGGTCCTATCCAACTGGAGCTTAGGAAAAAGATCATTTCAAAGTTATTTATGCAGATGAATTTATAGGAGTGGATGTCCCTAATCTCAGTAAAGAAAGAGGAGAGGTCATATGTGGAGAATGAGACATTCAGAGGTAGGATTATGGGTTTAAGGCATATGGAAACAGGGCCTGTTCTCCAACAGCTGAAATTTTGAAGACCTTTCTGGTTCATAGACTTAGAGCTGGAAGGAACCTCTGGAGCCATCTAATCTAGCCATCCCCTTCCCCCTCCTTGTTTTATAATTAAAGTACCTGAGGCCAAGAATGGTGAAGTGATTTACCGAAGGTCACTTAAAGAACTGTATTGTACAACAAAGCCCCATCTATCTCAAATGTGCATAATAATAGCATTTATATAGTGCTTTAAGATTTGCAAAGCACTTTATATTAACTCATTTGATCCTCATACCATTCTTGTGACATTGTTGTTATTATTATCCCCATTTTACAGATGGGGAATCTAAATGTGAAGATAAATTGGGTTTTCTGCCTCATCAACTGATCTTTTGGCCCTAATCTCATGCTATCCATCTCCTTATACTCAGCTCTAGAACCAAACTCAACTACTGACTGACTCTCTTGACTCCTGTCACTTTACCACCAATGTGCGATCATTCATGTTGTTTTTACTTCCGAAATGTTCTTTCCACCCTCACCCTATTTCCAATTGTCAAAGATCTTCTCCTCCAGAAAGCTTTCTATGTCATCTCTTCCCATTCTCAGACTTCCTAAAGCAAGTTTTCTCATCAATGTATCTACCAGACATTGTGTCAAATGTTGGTTATTTGTATATGTGCAACCTTCTCCTACTAGACGGTAAGTTCCATGAGGGCAGGAACTGTATCGTCTCTAAATTTAGCAACTCATTCAGTGCTCTGTACCCAGTAGATGCTAAATAATCATCTGCTGATTTAAACATAAGCAGAAATACACCTTTCATTTCAACCCATTCAAAATTATGCCTAAGAAGAATATGGTGGATATGATGGATAGAGTGAAGTGCAGTTGAAAGAACATTCTGGATTTCAAGTTGAACCAAGAAGATTGTGATTCAAATCCTGGCCCTGGAACCTATTACTTGTGTGATTTTCTTTCCAAGCCTTAATTTCCTTATTTGTAAAAAAAAAAAAAAAAAAGAAAGAAAAAAAGAAAAAAGGAGGTAGAACTAGTTGTCCTGTGAAGTTCGTCCCAGTTCTAAAATTCTAAAATCCT